GAAGATTTGATTTAGGGTATGGGAGTTAGGGTAGGGTTAAATAAATGAAATTATTGTAAATAGATTTTTAAATGAAAATAAATTTTTTTTTTTTTTAATTCCTTTAAAACCTGATTAGTGAAATATCAAACTTAAATCAGGAATTATGAAAAGGGATATCTAATAACAGGTGTGGGTGTAATTTCCTCAAAATTGTAAATGTCATGTGAAACGCAATAATTTGCATGGACTTCTTTCCGAAGTTAATTTACTGGACCTGATAACAAGAATTGCCTAATTGGGCCAAACAGCATGTTTCTCAACGAGTACCTTCTTCGGCACAATCAAAGACCCATCATGATAAGGACCAATGAGCCCAACAAAAAACTCTTCCAGTTCCAGATAAGCCCTCAAACTTGGGCAATTTACACAAATAGGGAAAAAAAGGGGTTGAACTGGAAAATATTAATTTTTAATATTGTTAAAATTGCAACATAAATAAGTGTTTAAAGAAAAATACAGTAATTACAGTTTATGTAATTTTTTGGAAAAAATATTTTGACATATTACATTATAGGTAATTTATTACAATGATTTTAACTTAGTTAATTTTGTTACATTATTTGTAATTTTTCAGTTTGTAACTTACAGCTGTATAATAATCATATTACACCTCGTACTATTTATGTGTAGTTCTTATTACAACTTGTTTAATAATCATATTACATCCATGTAAATTTTAATTTGCTCATTATTAAATTTACATGACATGTATTTTTTATTCTCAACTTTCAAACTCCATAATAGTGAATAAATATTATAATGAAATGTAACGGTTTGCATAAATACTATAATTTATACGATATGTTAAATATGTTACAATGTATTAGTCCTTGTTGCGGAGAATGTAATTTCTTCAAAAGTCACCCCTTCTCCACCTCCATTCGTAATAACGGTATCGAAACAACCCAGATCACAGACTACGTTAACAAAAAAAATCACTTTTAACTCGCTGGACACTAACTTATTTCCTTGTAAATACAAAAACACTTTTGAACTGAAATTTTCGATCTGAAATGGAGATGAAAAATGAATATAATAATCAACACACCGTGTACTAATCTTTTACCATCTCAAACCCATATTGATGCCCTCAGCATCTACACAAAATAAACTATCTTGGAGTGAAGTAAAAGGAAATTTCAAGAATCTATAGTATTTTTGTGAAGTTATACTTGAGAAAGAGAGACAAACTTGGTTTGTTCAACTTTGAAGTGTGGATTTTGATGAGAGAGGAGAGGGGGAGAGAGTAATTGGTTGTTTCAATTTGAGAGAAGTAAAAAGAAATTTCATTTTTGAATTTTCTTTGAACACAATTTTGAAATTATTTATTGGATACGCTTTGCTAGAATTTAATAAAAATTTATCTCTATAAGTTGATTAAAACTAAGTAGTTTTAACATATCCTTTCGCAGTATGTGTTAGTCATTAGTTTGAGGACAAAACAAATGGTCCTTGCAATCACTCATATAATGTAATATGCTCATTGAAATTATTACGAAGAACATGGAGTAAGATTCCTATATTCTCATCCTATCTTAAGGATAAAAATGATGAAGCTATCTAAGAGTTTCCTTTCTACCTTCACCAGCAAAATACCGAAATAATTTGGGGTACAACTACAAGATTAAACTAAGGACTAAATCAGATGGGTCCCAGTAAATAAAAATAAGGTAAAGTACTAGATAGCCTTTTTCCCTCTTGGTTTAAGGTGCCATTTTGTGCACCAAAAAGAGGAATAAGAAAATGTAGAATAATTCAACATCAAGAAATTGTGGCAGCAGTGCCTAAAGAAACCAAATTGTGTGCATCCAATACCATGCATTATTGCAAGAAAAGGTGAAAGCTCACGTTTACGCTTCTCTTATGCCGAATTTTCTCCATTAATCAATTGCAGCCATAATATCTACAAGCTTGATACTATGGCACATTAAACAATTAGGAATTGGACAATATAAGTTTTTCTTATTAAACTTTGCCTAAATTAATGTACTAAACATGTTTTCTATATGAAATAAAAGAATTATTATCCATCTATGGGACGGAACGTCTATTTCGAACGAGTTTGATAGCCTGCTCGCAGTGAATATGAGTCATAACGTTTGTTGTGGGTACATCAACAGCACATATTGCAACATTCGCATAGTGGATAAAAGATCAGATCTGCTATTCTGAAATAACAAATTAAATTAAATTTTATATAAAATCTTAAGCCAGAATGGCTATAGATCAACGCTCACCATCGTCTCTTGCGCAGCAAGTTCTGCTCCTAAGAAGACGCTTCACCTCTTCTCCTGGTATATATATCAACAAAACATATTAGGCCACTGACAGCTGTTCCCTCAATATTATGTGGCGACACGTTTGCGTATATTATTTCAACGGCCACCGTTCCAACCACCCCAAGTCAATCCGCAACCACGTCATCTTTTAGGAACTTATACTCTACAATCGCAGTTCGTTGACTCTTCTTTTCATCTACCATTCTTTAATCACGACGGTCAATTCCGCCAACCCTGATAATCAGACGGTGCCTGTCATCCCATCTTTGGCCAGCCACTTGTTCGGTGATTATAATATTCCTCGTGAACCTGATATATAAGAACAGTCAATATTTTCTTTTTTATTTATGTGCGAATATTCCAAATTATTGGGCTATGTTTTTAGTATAATTTTCTCCAATTTCATCGTCTCTACTATGTATAAATACAAAGGTTTTACGCTATAATTTCTCCATTGTTGTTTCTTCCTCTTTCTCTCGAAAAACATAATCTTAAAATAATATTCATCAATGGCGTTTAAGAAAACATTAGCCCAGCGTCTTTTCAGCATGTCTAGAATCACAAATCCGGCTTTAACGAATTGCCGGATTTCCTCATCATCAACGGCTGTGAATGCTCCGTCAAATCAACAGCCAAAGCCAAATAAACTGGCTCTGGATCCCGGAGATGACGGGATTTTCCGGCGGTACCTTCACCGTCACTCGGTGGCCATATCGCCTGAGATCCGGTCCTTGCCCATCGGAGAAAAGCTGCTTGAAAAACTCCGGGGCATGGACATTACCCAGGACGGGATCGGGCTTGACGGGTTGATGCCGCCAGGAGGAGAGGCGGCGGTGGCACCGAATGAGAAGCTGACGGTGAAGGATGTCAAAAAGATTCTGAGATTGTTCCAGCTTGAATTGGTGAAGGAGAGGCTTAAGCAAATAGAAAAGGATTATATTTCTTATTCAGATTTTTTACAGATTTGTGTTAAAAATTGCTCTAGTGTTGATCAAGGAATGGAGTTCGCGAAAATGCTTGATGAATCTGGCACTATTATTGTACTAGGTGATTTCATCCTCCTCCGGCCAGAACAGGTTGGTTCTTTTACTTCCATGACTTTTTTTTAATTTAATTATCTTCAATTTAATTAATTTAATTGGTTGGGATGAACATCCATCAATAGGAACACATAAAATTTTCTTCCTTTTAGAAAATTTTCAAGACTACCGAGAACTGATAGTTTCTTCATTGTGTGTGTGTTCCATGTCTTCTTCCACAGGAAAAGTGAAACAATGTTTCGCACTCAGATCTTCTAAAACGAGATGGGTGGATCACTCATCAAAAGCAGATTATTTTCAGAGACCAAAAAACACCGAATCAATTTTTTTTTTGACCAAATGGGGTAGTTGAGAAATTTTGGAAAGGGACAACCTTTTTATGACTTCTACATGGAGAAAAAAGGATAGGGGTGAAAATGACATCCAACTATTGTGGAGTCTTTAACAATTTTCTAAGTGATTACATCAGTATATATATATATTTGTGCATGGATTTTTTTTTAACCAGAAGGAAAATGAGATTTAGAAGCTAAGAAACGCAGTGGCTGTTTTTGGAAAGAATAAATAATTGAACTGGAAAAACTAGGCAAAAGCAGGTGAAGCCAAGCCATGTTTTACCCAAATGTTGTGTACAATGTTTACAGGTGATGAAAGCCATCAAAGGCCTACTGCCAGTGCCCATATCCAATTCAAGTGATGCACGTATTAACGAGCTCGAAGAAATGGAGAAACAGAAAACCGTCATCGACAAGAAGGCCGAGTTGATGGTACGCCGTGAACTTTGGGGTGGACTAGGCTATCTAATTATCCAAACAGCAGCCTTTATGAGGCTAACATTTTGGGAACTTTCTTGGGACGTAATGGAACCAATTTGTTTCTATGTCACATCAGTGTACTTCATGGCTGGCTATGGTTTCTTTTTGAGGACATCCCTGGAGCCTTCTTTCGAAGGATTCTTTCAGAGCCGATTTATTGCGAAGCAAAAGCGTCTCATGAAACTTCACAATTTCGATATTGTTAGGTATAACGAGCTCAAAAAAGTTTGTTATCCCAATTCATCGGTCCTAAGTGAAAGTGTTGTATCTTTTAGTAATTCATTTGGTGATGTTCGAAGAACATAGTTTTTATGTTAGAGGAAAGAAAAGTAGTAGAGATTTTACTTCTTTTTCACCCTTTTACTGATGTATCTGCGGCTCTAGTTATAAAGATAACTTGAAGAGTGTTAACATGGTAACGATTTCTTCTTCCACAGTATTTTTTTATTTTATTTTTTTCACTCAAATTGGTCACTAAATTTATAATTTGTTACAGCATTACAAGTTAGTAAAATCCTTAATGACAGGTAGTCAATTTGAATGGTTTCCATCCCAATTATAAAAGGGTTAAAACTTTTGATATAATTATATAAAGACTAAAATGCCTTTGATCTAGTTAAATAAAGAAAATCAACTCATTCCAAGCAAAATAGAATGTATTTAAAAATATTCATCTCCAATGCGAGTTGATAAGAATTCCGTCTAGATGATGTGGGTGGGAGGAATTGATCGGTGACCAATCAATGAGGTATTCTTGATTTTTGACTCGTCTAACTCTGGACCATTAGCCTCTTTGACATTGGTTCAAAGTTGTCATTGCATCTCCCTTTTTCTGATCCACTTCAGTTACAACTCGATAGTGAGTATTGCGTGTCAAACGCAGGCCGAAAACTTCTTTAAACATTTATACAATCAAAGATATACAGAGAAAAATCACACAGCTGAAGGATATTCATCAATGGCTAATGATAGGAATGCCAGTCTACATAGACACTGTTTCGGATATTAGTGCCACCTTACTGAAATATTTGCAAAATAATGCAGATTGTGTGTTTAGGACTATTTAGTAGTAAGATATTCTTCCTTTTTGTTATTCTATTTTTTAAAGTTATTTTTGTATTAATTTTTAATATCATAGTCTCTTTGATGATAAGAGTGCCACTCCCTGTGGAGAATACGAAATGGTCAAAATCTTGCAGCCTCATAATCTCTTACTCATTTCGATAAATAATGTTTTGGATTAGTGCCGTGCATTGCTTCAATTTGTACATAATGCAGAACATTAATGTTTAATAATTCTTTGAATTAAGATGCATTATGATTTGTAAGCCTTGAATCGGCCTTTCTACATACTTACTAAGATAAAAATTATCGTCACAAGTAAACAAAATGGTTCGGATGGAGTTGGTGTCCGAATTTGGTGTATGTGGGTGGCGCCATTTCGATAGGCAGGAAATGGGGTGGTAGTGGTGGAAATCAGGTGGTAGACAAGTGTCACACGCTATGTCATACAAGATTTTTATAATCAATAAAGAGTAAATTACATAAAACTAGGCATTTAAGTTTACAAATTCAAAAATTAGATGTAAACTTTATTTAATAAAAAATCAGGTATTATATAATAATTATATATTCAATGTTTTCACCTAATTCAATTACAAATCCTAATTTTATTTAATTATTCTCTCTCTCTCTCTCTCTCTCTCTCTCTCTCTCTCTCTCTCTCCATCTTCTTCATCTCCTTCTCATGCCTTCCTCTCTGTCAGATGTCGTCACAGCCATCGTTGGAGCACCCGTCGCGGGAATCGGGCAGTCGCCACCAATTAAGCAGCGCTGCGCTGCTTAATGAAGAGATCAGAGCAACTGCACGCGGAAGTGCAGGGGCGGCGATCTCAAATCTTCTCCTATTTGTGGTGTTTCTTCGACGATTTTCTGTGGCCCATGATTTGCGCGGTAGTGGTGGTGGGACGGCTTGGAGATGGCGACACTGCGAACTTCGCTACCCTTGGCTCTGCTTGATTTCTTTTTTTTTTTTTTGGTTTTGATCGTTGGATGGTGTTTTGTGTGGAGGTGGGATGGTGTTTGTGTGGTAGCGGACTTGATGATTTTGTTGGTGGAGTGGTGGCTTAGATGGCGCGACGAGGGGGTTGGAGGTGGTGGTAGGTTTGTTGTGGTGTGGTGATATCTTTGTTGTTGTTGGCGATCGGGTGGTGGTGGATCTGGTGGTAGCGACGGGGATGGAGGTGGTGGAGGGTTTAGGATTTTTTTTTTTTTTTGGATCTGGTGGTGATATTGTGACCCATTATTTGGTTACCCGTGATCAACTGTTTAACTGTGACCTTAAAATTCGATAATTTGTGACCAACAAATTTGAAAATACGTAATTGATTGATAAATTGTGAACTATAATTTTTTATCTGTGACCTTAAAATTCGATAATTTGTGACAAACAAGTTTGAAAATATGTGACTGATTGATAAATTGTGACCTGTAATTTTTTATCCGTGACTAATAAAATAAAATGTAACCTATGAAATTTTTTATTTTTGATTTCGAATTAATCTGTATCCAATTAATTATTTAATACATTATCAATAAATAAGTTGTGACGTGTGATTATGTACCTATGACCATTAATTATAAAATTGTGATTTTATTATATTTAATTAATAAAATATATTTAATTAATAAATAAATACCTGATTTTTGCATTAATTAAACTCAAAACTTGATTTTTGACTTGTGCATGATTAATGCCTGAATTGTGAATTTTCCCATAAATAAACAAAATGGGTTGAATGGAGTTCGTGGTTGAATTTGGTGTATGTGGGCTGGCGTCATTTCGATAGGCAGGAAATGGGGTGATAGTGGTGGAAATCGGATAGTAGACGACTGTAACACACTATGTTATATAATAAAGACATTTCACACTATTTTGTGATTCCTTTTATTATAAAGTGTAATTGTGTAAAGGGAAAAATTTATATACAAGATCTACCCTACATATCAATTTCATACAAAATTATGTAAATAGTTGATCACAAACTCTCTTCTTCCCACCCCGTCGCTGTTGCTACACTACCACCACATCTGCCACCAACATCAACTAACCACCACTGATCACGGCACACCACCAATGCACACTATCACCGCACCCAACAGTTGCATACAGCTCGATTCACTTCCACATATTCACATTGGCAAACACCAACACCGCCTACTAAATTCTACCATTACTTTTGACCACCACCACCATGACTACCACAAACATCATCACTGCCACCCACCCAACCACCTGCTCCAACACCCCACCACCTCCACTTGCAACTCCAATCAACCACAGCATAACCACTACCACCGCCTACTAAAATCTACCATTTTTTCCAACACTACCACACCCACAGAATTCACCCAACTATAGATCAGAAAACCACCTACCCATAGTGGTGCCGCGCGGCTTTGGAGAGAAGTCATCGGAGAAGATAAGTGATGTAGGATAAAGAGATTTCGTGCAAGTCGTCATAAGAAAAACGTGCACCACCACAAGTTAGCAACCAGTGCAAAAAATTCTCGAACCACCACTTCCACCAACACCACACCAACCAGATAAACAGATGTTGAAGAGGGAAAAAAGATAGAGACAATGGGGGTGCGCATCACTACTTTACGATGGGAGAGGTACTGGTGCATCGCACACGGTGGCTAGTGTTGCGCCTGTCGCCTGCACACACGAGCGCCGTGAAAAGTTGCCAGAGGGTGGGATGGAGTGGAAGTGGAAATTGAAGTAGCACTTGAAAGTTGAAACCATTTTTGAAATGGATTATTCTAGTTGTACATAGATATACACATAAAGCTTCACATAATATGAGTGGGGTGGAGCTCGCGATACTGCAGCATGGGCCCCACCCCCACTCACATTATGTGAACCCCTATGTGTACCTCTATGTACCCATAGCATAGCTCTTTTGAAATATATATTAGGGTTTGTTGGGTGGGGAGGGTGAGTGGGGGGGTTGGGGTAGATTAATTTAATTTTATAATATTAAAAATCTAAAGTATTACTTGATTTCTGAACATAAAACTTTCAAATCTTATTTTTGAATTGAGAATTTAAAAACCATGGTTAGGTGTAATTTCCACAACTATAAGTTACATGTCTACAATTGCCTTGAGAGTATCCATTTATTTTTCTTCAGCTTCACGATCCAGAACCAAAATTGAAGTCCACCCATATTCATCTACTTTCAATATCTTGGGAGTCTAATCCTCAGTTTAATTTAGCTAAAAAGGTGAATTAAAATTTAATTTGAAATCAACGATTAATTTTAACTATATATTTTATGAAATTTAGAATTTTTTTATCAAAATTTATTAAAAATTTAATTTTTACCTGAATGAATGTCAGTCAAAAAGTTTTGATAAGATGTGCATCCTTTTGGGCATATTCTATTGGATATTTTCATCTTGAGTAGTGGTAGTGGGTTAGTAACGTAATTAATCATGATATTTACTGTTAGTGAAATAAAAGTTGCTTTCTAAAGTCGCGTCGATGTAGACGACTGATTTGACCAAAAAGGAAAAAAATATTTTTCGTCTTCTCCACATTAATGTATTTCAAACTTCACTTACATGAGAAACACTAAACGAAGTCATCGCCGGTCCAAAATCAAATTAGGAAGGAGAAATTCCATTTGTACAAAAGAATAAGTTCACATAATTCTTACACCCACTCACATGAAGGTGGGTCCCGTGCAATAAAGAGTGAAAAAAATTACCCTCCCTTGTGAGCGTCTGTAATGTTTTGTTTCTGTACATGTAGTCTCTCTGATTAGGAAGACTAGTCGAACAAAAGCTATAGCCAGTCAATTGACACCTAGAACAAAATGTATTTTTAGAATAAGGACAAGATAAATCAAAGAATGTTAGACATTGAAGGAAGTATAGTCAATCGGGGATCAAAATTTGACCACAATACTAATGAAAGGTGAGGACGTTGTGTGTTAATTGCCCCTATTAATTAGCAATAATTATCAATACAAATGGGCTGGACTTATGGCCCAGATGGAGTGAAAATGTAAGGGAAAAATTGACAATTCAGGTATTAACCACAACAAATTCAATTTTCAGATTTTATGTTTCAAAATTCAAAACTTAGGTGATAAATAAATAATTAAAAATATTTTATTAATTAAATGCATGGTAAAAATTATAAAATCAATGCTCACGGTTACATATTTATAGGTCACAACTTATTTATTGGTCACATATTATCAAATTAATTGGTTATAGATTATTTCACGATCACA